TCGTGGAGCGTGGAGATGGTCTGGATGCACTGCTGCAGCTGCTTCAGACACGGCTTCACGCTCTTCACCTGCACAGAACACAGCGCTAGGAGCCATTCATGCAAGAAGATGGGAGTGAACTTTTTAATTTGAACGCAGTGTTTTTAGAAAGCCGTTTCATGCAAGAGATGCATCAGTCAAACGTGTCCATGTTTACACAGAAAAAACTATGGAAAAGCAGTGCACTCGAATAAAAACTCCTGTGAAGAACTGCTACTGTATGTCTGATATTTCATGTTTGCTTCACGGTGACGGACTGAAAGCTGCTGCTCATTGTTTTCACAGAACATTTATAGTTAATAATAATCTGCTGGTGTTATACCTTCAGTCGTTTTGAATTTAACTACCTTGACTTTTGAGAACACAATGTACAGAAGAGTCAAATAAGAGACGGATGAGCTTGTAACAGAGGAGAAGCGTGTGGCTCTCACCTGTCCGGCGTCCAGGTAATGCGTGACCTGCAGCACCAGGAAGAACACACGCAGCGACTCCTTCTGGATGGGGTTCCCCTGCCAGGTTTCCACGATCTGTCCGCAGAGAGTCAGGAGCGGATGAACCTCCTGCAGCTTGCGCTCCATCAGCAGCAGCTACAGACAGCAGAAGAGCAGACCGATCAAAGATTCGGAGAAGATCTGCTGAGCCCACAACACTGCGGTATTATCAGCTCACAGTTCTGCTCTGGACAAGCGTTAGCAAAGCCTCGCATTCTCCCTCAATCAGCAGAAAACCAACAAGCACACGATTCCTGTCCGAATCAGAGCCAGATTTGATCCATTTCACACGCGAGACATTATTTTACATCAAATCCTGATTTCAAGGTTACAGAAGCAAATGCAAACATGAGCCAAAATGACATGTTGTGGGGAAAAAAAGCTTATTTTGTGACGTTCTTTGACATTAAATGAAGTACTTAAATTTGTCCACTCTTTCGCAGACTGTAAGTTAAATGATTCGTTGTCGTCATTTTACTGCTTTTCTTGTTTTGATCATTAAAAGTCATTAAAGCTGATACAAATATATCATTTGAAAGATTATTATTTTTGTAAAAAAACTGTGATAGAAAGTTTGTACTGATGTTTTGAACGCAGCATCATCTGTGGACTTTTTTGCAAATCAACAGAATGTTCTCTTCAAGATACAGGACGAAATAGATGAATAAATGAGTGTTTTACAACTCGGCTTGCAAACACTGCAGTGACGTCAACCTGACACTGAAACATTTTTCTGCAATATATTGTGATATGAACAAAATACAGGAGTTTCCAACAGATACCTGACCTGTATTTGGAAAGAATTAATAATTTTTAGCATGAAATCCTGCAAAATTTGGGAAAAAACGTGAAAAATGTGGGCGGTCATACTTGGGTTTACTTTTTAGAAAAAACAACTCAAACCTCTTTCAGTAGCCATTAAAAACTCTTTCTACTTGAGTTTCATAGGACGCATTCTCCCTGTTTTTAACCAATTCAATATGCCTACGAAATAACAACTGTCATGGTTTTACAGCGATTATTGATTATAATATTGAGATTTTTGTGATAAATATGTGTCCCTGCAGCACAAAAGCAGTGTTAAGTCGCTGGGGTATATTTGTAGCAATAGCCAACAATACATTGTATGGGTCAAAATTATACATTTCTCTTTTATGCCAAAAATCATTAGGATATTAAGTAAAGATCATGTTCCATGAAGATATTTAGTAAATGTCCTACCGTAAATATATCAAAACTTAATTTTTGATTAGTAATATGCATTGCTAAGAACTTCATTTGAACAACTTTAAAGATGATTTTCTCAATATTTAGATTTTTTTGCACCCTCAGATTCCAGATTTTCAAATAGTTGTATCTCGGCCAAATATTGTCCTATCCTAACAAACCATACATCAATGGAAATATTATTTATTCAGCTTTCAGATGATGTATAAATCTCAATTTTGAAAAATTGACCCTTATGACTGGTTTTGTGGTCCCGGGCCACAAATGAGTAATAAAAACTATTTTATTTATATTTCCTTTACAAGACACAGAGTGATGTTACTCACCATGCCTTTGCTCAACAGGAAGAGAGCTCTGTGAAAATGACCAGCAGAGTGACGACATTAACATCTGAGCGAAATTAAACATTCATACATCACAGTAACTAATTGATGTGAAGTTATGAGATACCTGGTGTATTCGGATCCCACGACTCTGGCGTATTCCGCGCCGACCCCCAGCAGATCACAGGCCGACACCAGATCCTTCTCCAGCGTGTGCAGCTGCTGCAGCAGAACAACATCCAGCACATCATCATCATCACAAACTGGCTTGTTTGAGTCTGATTCTTTTATTAAACTCAAAAATTCAGCATGAATGTGCTGCGGACTGTAACAATGCACTAACGAGTGTGTGTTTGTTTGTGTGTGAGTGCGTGTGTGTGTGAGCGTGCGTATAGTGTGTGTGTGTGTGTG